CATGTGTCTTTCATATTCTTGGTCACTGAGACACAATGCCTGTCAGAAGTGTCATTCCTTGCATGGTCAGCAGCATGGTGAGAAATCCTGGATGGAAGAAAGATGCTCACATCATGGTAATCAGAAAGCAGAGGGAGGAGAAGAGCCCAGGTGGGCGATACACCCTTCCAGGTCATGCCCACAGTGACCCACCTCTTCAAAGCAGGCTCCAGCTGGTAACATCACATTTAACTGTAGCATTCCCATGGTACAGTCTCACTTTGAAAAGCCTTCCCTTGAGCAAATGAACCTTTGGGGAGACATTCAGATCTAAATCATAGTCAGACAAAGTATTTGCTGATTCCTCTGGTTTAAGTGTCTTCATGAGAGATGATACCTAGTTAAAACCTGAGGTCACTAGGTAAGAGCTGCTCAGAGAGCATAATTATTTAATACTTTCTCAAGTGTAAAATAATTAAAAAGAAATGCATTTTTTGTATTTTCTTTATATTGTATATAAGCACAAGTTCTGAAAGTGTCACAATTGGTTTCCCCAATTGCAGAACCTCACTAATGGATAGCTGAACAAAGTTATAGAGGTGAAAAGCATAGAAATTTATGAAATATTGTTATATAAGTAAAAGGAAAAAACAAGTCAAGGTGATTCTGTAATTTTATACCTTACTATCAAGAAGAGGGGATAACACAGGGAGGAGCAGATTTGCAAGGGTATATTAAGCTTCCATTCTGGTCATTTTTTTAGAAATTTTAAGGCCATTTGAAATGTAGGTTCCCACTTCTGCCCAAAAGAAAGGTCATTGCTTTAGGAAGCATTTGTTTGAAGATTACTACTGAGCCATGAAGGGGAATTAGAGAAAGAAGTATATAAGGTTTGGGACATTATTAACATTGGGAAGAGGGACTGGCAGGGGTATTTAAATCAAAGAAGGTGAAAGAGATGGAACAACCCATAGAGCAGGTAGACAATCAGTACATGACTCAGATGAAAAGAAAAATTACATACCAGGGTAGTCAGAAGATATGACAGTGGATTTACGTAGATCACAGAGTTCATGTTTGGTTTTTGCTCCTGACTTGATAGGAATTTTTTCATTATCAGTGGATGCATAATATAACTCTTTTTTTCACGAATTGTACTATGTTTTGAGTTATTCTACAGGATAATGGCAAAATCTACTCCTTTACTACCATCAACCCCAAGAAGGCATCTGATGTTCCCCTGACTTGCTTGACTGGTGTCACCCAAAACTAGGAAGAGGGACTTTCCCAGGAACCTACATTAGGGAAAGGCAGGTGCTACAGAAATGTTAAAGAGGAAAGGGCTACAACCAAGTCACCCCAGCTGGCACTTTCTGCTAAGGCAAATGGCAGAAAACAGCATGAAGCAGTAGAAGATGTCAGAAAAAGTGCTGCTAAATTGCAGTATTGTGTCTCAGTAACTGCATGTAAGTCCCTCCTATGCCACCTGCCACAAGCTGTATGGCTGCAGGGCAGTACCAAAATGTGAATGAGAAATGAGAAGGAATGCATTTACTGGATGCCAACCACTGTGGCAGGAAGGCACTTGACTGCCATCTCATTCACCATGGCAATATGTGAAAACAAAATGCTTTGCACATAAGACATTGCTTATTAGAAAGAGAAAAAAAATGAGAGCAGTGTGAGGCGGTAGCTTAAAGGCATATTTTCAAACCGAAACTCAAATATCGCAGAATAAGTCTCATAAATCTTCAGCTTACACCCGTTCTTTCTTGTCATGCCAGGTAGAATGTAAAAATGTAATTTGTACCTACAGAGTAACTGCATCGCGCTTCATGTTTGCCAAACGCTTGATGTGTTTAACTCAGCTTAAATGCTTATTGGATAATTAGAAATACTGCTTAACTAAGTTGATGATCACTGTCAACTTTTTAAAAAGTGTAAAAACAGAGTCTTTCTCTAAGTCACATAGTAATTGGTATCTGAAAAAAAAGTACCTTGAACTTCATGGTGTTACTTCAAGTTAGACAAACGTCTAATAATTAACCCCAGCATTCCAAGAGTCATTCCTTTCCACATGAACAAGAATGTGTTGTGCGGGAAGAAAAACTGTTCAATCTCCAGCCATCCTTCTGTTACTTCTTCTTCCTATAATATGTGATTTCGACTCAGGTGCATAGTTGATAATTTTCCTCCTTCATCTTTTGGAAAAATACATTACTGCCAAAGAAAATTGACAGTGGCTAGAGTCGAGGCTATTCCTACTGATTTTGCAATACTCCATAGTATCTTTCTGCCAGACTATAGAATCATGCATCATCCAGACATTTGAACGGTCCCTGATGCATATTTTAAGGGAATATTCCTGCTTTTATCTACAATTGACTTGATATATGGGTCTCAGTTATAAGACTTATGGGGTAGTTTCCACAAGGAACTACAATATTGAAGTTGTTTCCAGTGAAAAACAGTGCCCAATTAAAATGGAGTCAATTTAGAAAGGCAACACAGAAAAAATCCTCATAATCTTAGAACCTGCCAGATGAGAAGCGTGCAAGAAACCCAGACAGACAGACCTCTTACAGGCTAAGGTCCTTAGGCTCTTTTAATCAGAGACTGATTGTGTACAAACAGACCAATATACAAAAACTGCTTCGTTTTCCCAGCTTCCTTATTGTCTACCAAACATTATGCAGCACAATCTTTAGATACTGCTTGCGTAGTTCCAAACATTTATAAAATGGAGGATTTTTCAGACTTTGGAGAGTCTGCTTCCTAAGCCAGCATAGACAGAATGGGCTGCTCATTACAAAAGGCCTCTGTTCCAGCCACTAAATCAGGTAGTCTACATCATTATTAAATGCTTACTGTACACTTGATGTGAAACACAAAGATGCCCTCAGCGTTTGCACTGTTGCTTATGAATGTCCATCCTTCCAAGCTAATAATATCACTTGGAGCTTTGTATGGATGGGGTATTTTAAGAGCCAAAGAGATGTGAAAAGGAAGCCGATTAATCAGCCACATGGAGGGGAGTGGGGATAGAGAATGACAGGAAAAGTTGCCATCCAAATGATTATTTAGTAGAATAAACTAAATAAATGGCACTTGGTGGATCTTACCACACCGGAACAGGCAGACTCACAGAGCTCTGTCTTGATGTTTGCATCACATTTCCACCTGTGCTGCCCTAAGAGCTATCTCATTATTTCTAAAGCTCATTGCACCCAGAAAGTATGTGTGCACAGTACCTCAGTGTGTGTCAGTTTGTAGGCTTAGGTCTTGAATGGAGTGTCTAGTGACTCTTTTGCATAAAAGAGTGAAATAATTGTAACAGTGCTTATATCAAATTCACACTTTACCTAGTACTAACCACAGGTTTCTGTGTGGAGATTGGATTTGATATACAGGTTTCAGTAATTAAATATCCTGTCATTAAAAACAATGCTGTTCCCATTTTGTGGGCCATGTCACTGGAGAGAAATTGGCATTCCAGTTAAACAAGTAAACAGTCATTCATTTCAGTGTTCTAGTATAACTCATTGTATAGGTATATTGCTGTGAAGTTTCATGGTTCATTCCCAGAGCCACCAGTATAATTATGAAAATGTTTCTCCTTTTTGCCATTCTTGCCTCCTCAATTCCCTATTTTTCATGTCCTTCATGTCCCATTTCAAACATTGCATCATCATCCACAAAACTAACACATCGTTTTAGTATATTCTGCGATAGATTCTAAGATCTTTAAAGGTAGGAGTAAAATCATCTTTATTGTTATATCTGCTAATTCACTTAACAGAGTATTTCATTGTTCTTTTGACTAAAAAGATGGACAAATCTGTGGTTGGACACAGATGAAAAACATTGAGAAACACACACACACACAGAGAGAAAAATAGATTACAGAACACAGTGACATGGAGCAAACGAAGGACTCTATCATGGTGTCCAACCTGGTGACAATATATCCATTCCTACTGATTGCATGTTTAGCAGTCAGGTAAATATGCATGGTCAAAAGGAGAAACATTCTAGATTGAAGCATTTTGACACTTTAAATGTACTTAGCTTGAAGGATTTGATAAGTAGGAAGCATACAAGGCTTACCTTGAAATTATAAAAACAGGTGTGTTATTTTCTTGGTATTCTTTTCAGTGTTAGAGAATATTCCATTTCAAGCATCAGACTCTGCAATCCTAGTCAGTAAATTAGATTGTCTCCTTAGAACAGCAGAACTTGTCTACCCCTTGTGCTTTGTTGACTCTCTCGTGTCTCTTCTCTGAGTAAGTTTCTACCAACTGGAAAATGACCCTTAAGTCCACAGGTAATGGAGTTTTTAAAAAGCCTTAAATCTCTTTCAGTAACAAAGATTGAGGTCTTTATTTTCCTGCACAGAATACCTGAATCTCACCTAGAATTTCAAAATACATTCAACTGTGGAAGAAAAAAGAGAGTAAAACAAAAAATATACACTGTCTACCAGCTGCTTTTTATTAAGAAAGTGGTCTATTTTTAGTGTGCGACGTTTTAATTACATACATCCCACTAGGATGATTTTAAAACTTCTTTGCTGAGTTGTAGAATATGAAATATTATAATTGAGTGATTTGTTAGATTTTTTTTTTGCTTTTTTTGTAAACTAAAGTAAAATAGAATGAATTTGCAAAATGGGATGTCTAATTAGATCTTGACCAAAAGTTTAAAATACCATCTAAACAGCCTAAATGTTTTGTATTTTTTCATGTTTTCAAAATAACATTCATTTTGCACTGCACAGTAATTATGGACTTAATATTTTGTACATTATGAAATTTTACTCTTTTGTCCCTATATTCTGGTAATGAGACCCTAATAATCCTTTTGATTTCAGAGTGTTCAAAAGTCATCATAGGGGCTACTTGAAAATTCATGAGTATAAAGCCTCATTAATAAGAATAAAAATAATTTTTTGTGTTCATTTTCTGATAAGTTTATTTGAACTTTTAAGTGTATTTGAGCTTTTCTCTCTGTTTTCTTTTTAGTGCGGGAGTTGGCCGGACCGGTTGTTTCATTGTAATAGATGCCATGTTAGAAAGAATAAAGCATGAAAAAACTGTAGATATTTATGGCCATGTAACTTTAATGAGAGCCCAGAGGAATTACATGGTTCAAACAGAAGACCAATACATCTTTATCCACGATGCACTGTTAGAAGCAGTGACTTGTGGAAATACCGAAGTGCCAGCTAGAAACTTGTATGCCTACATCCAGAAGCTGACACAAATAGAAACAGGGGAGAATGTCACGGGAATGGAGCTCGAATTTAAGGTATGGCATTGGATATGATGGGGTTATTCCGGGGCAAGTCATTCTGGGACTGCTTATGAGTAGGGACTTACTTTAACCTTTCAAATTTTGAAGTACAAGATTCATTTGACCTTCTCTTCAAATATCTGATTATAAATCACTTTTTCCTTCTCTATTCTTTGCTTCCTAACTATACCTTGAGCCCTTTTGTATCTTAACTGACAGTTCATCCTCTCCGAGCATAAAGCTTCAATAGGTTATGTGAAGTAATTAGGTAGAAGTAAAAAGCAGTGCAATTTGAATGGTTAAAGTAAAAGATTTATAGCTAAAAAGAGTATGTTGGCAACATTGCATTCAAGCAATCTAACATTATCAGTTTTCTGTATTTCAATAGCGTCTAGCCAGCTCCAAAGCTCACACCTCAAGATTCATCAGTGCCAATCTTCCATGTAATAAATTCAAAAATCGCCTTGTTAATATTATGCCATATGAATCCACAAGGGTATGCCTGCAGCCTATCCGCGGAGTGGAAGGATCTGATTACATCAATGCCAGTTTTATTGATGGATACAGGTATACACTGCTGCTCCCCTGACAATACAAAGCCTTGATATTTACGTGTGCCCTAGATTCATAACCAGGAAGAGTTTCATTTCAATTCAAAGCCACTTTCTTTACCCATAGGTCAGCATGCAGTTGCTTTGTATTTATTTGTTATTATTTTGGGAGCTAAGAAGTAACAGAAAGATTTTAATCTGACTGTCTATAGTTTTCTTTCAGAAACTATTTGGAATTTTAAGGTGCTAGTAAAAAAGCTGCTTAGCACCATATTTCATATATTTAATTATGTGAGCATCATTTCTAAAAAAAAAGATGTCCAACTTTATGATTGTATGGCACATGAAACTGAGCCATTAACTTTCTACTGAAATTTAAAAATGAAAAAACATTTACCCTATAATATTAAGGAAAGTTTTGTGAAGTTCTCAAAATGTATTAAATGCTCTTATTTTTTTTTTCTTAACCCCTATTTGTATTAGTACATGTTTGAAGAATGATTGCATTCCCCGTGGGGAGTTAGTACATATACACAATGCATCTTAATTCTTTTTTATGTCCCCTTTACCTCTGCTGTCTCCCCCTCCCTTAATGGAAATTTACAGCAACTGTATTAATAATGTGTGCTCATTTTCTTTTATTAGGTTTGATGTTCAACTAGCAAGTGAACGTTCATATATTCTTAAAATATATTAACATGCTTTTTCCTTCTGTGTAATTCAGACAACAAAAAGCATACATTGCTACCCAGGGGCCTTTGGCAGAGACCACGGAAGACTTCTGGCGGATGCTCTGGGAACACAATTCCACCATAGTTGTAATGCTCACCAAGCTGCGTGAAATGGGAAGAGTGAGTATGATTTCTCATAAAACCTCCACTTCAAAGGAAAGGGGATTCCACCTAATAACCCCAGTGCCAGCCTCATTTTTTTGAAATACAGAGTACTCTGGCCACATCTGGATCATTCATTGCATATGTTGGTTTCTAATTTGCAAGATAACATCAAGCTCTTAAATTTGCATATTTTGAGGAAAGATCTATTCTTTGGTCCTGATGAAGCAAAATTACACTGATTAGTCAGCAGGTGCCCCTGTTTGATTTATAGCTCTCATATATTCTTATTTCTTCTACTATGGACAGGCTGGTTTGTTAAGTAAATGTGTTATCATTTCTCCAGATGAAGGAGGAACTTTCTTTCATTCCTGGGGAAAATTTCTAAGGATGTAATCTAGCAACCTCAGATGTTTTTAAAGAAATTATTAATCTGAGATGTACATTAAACCATATTAGAGATATCTAGGGGCCTGTCAATTCATGTAAACATCTTGCAAAATTTACTTGAGATATTTTTTCTTCCTTGTGTAAAGGCTAGAAATACATTAAAATCCAGTATGACACTAGGAAACCACCTGACTTGTTCTAATTTGGCCACTGGCTTTTGCAAGGCTCACCCAACTCATTAAAAATGAGATTAAGGATCAATTCAGAGGTTTCTTTCCCAGTTATACTCAAGATTCTTTTCATTCCCAACAACTGCTGCTGCAGTGTGCAGAGATGTGGGAATGATGTGGCTGGCTTTGCCCAAAGACTGTAGTTATTTGGATAACTTGTACATAAAATATGCCTACTCTGTCAAAATATGCAGATCAGCTGATGTAATATTAAGCAGCTACTGCTGTATGTCAGGTACTGTACCAGCTACCATGGACAAATGTTAAACCAGATGATTTTTCTATTCTTTTGGAGCTTAGGATTTCAAAGAGAAAGTGAAGAAAGTGAGCCATGTGCAATCAGAATTGCCTGAATTTGGGAATTGTATTAATTGTGTGATGAAATCTGTTTTATTCTTTAAAGTTTAGTATTAATTTTTCCATTTAGGAGAAATGCCATCAATACTGGCCAGCAGAACGATCTGCAAGATACCAGTATTTTGTTGTAGATCCCATGGCTGAATACAACATGCCACAATATATCTTAAGAGAATTCAAGGTCACAGATGCCAGGGTAAGTTGGGGCAGTCTCCAGCTTTTAACAATTAGCCTAAAATTAGTCTCAAATAATTTCTTTGGGAGAAAACATTTGCTAAGTGACCACAGTCATTCATATATATATATATGAATGCACATATACATATATATATATATATATATATATATATATATATATGCATGTTTTCCTGCCTGGCAAGCATTCTCATAAACCCAGATTTGGCCTCCATTCAAACATAACATCTGGCAGCCCAACTTTGGGTATGTACTTTGTGAGAGTTTTTTTCTGGGAAGCATTTACTGATTGGTGGCTATGCTTACATTTACCTTCTCAGCTCATTCTCTTTGGAGGATTTCTTTATTACTCGAGGCTGTAAATATGTTGTTGTTTTGCAAAGCCCTTTAGGTCATGTGGGCTTGGAGGTTAATTTGGAATGATTTTAAAACTGCACAGCAAGTGGCATTCTTTAGAAGAATCTGACAAGCTCTGCACATTCTAATTTGATTCCTGGCATGGTTTATTCCTCTGTGTGCTAATGTGTCTGTCCACGAGAACTGTGCTCCGGTGACCTCTGTTGGCTAATTTTCATTCTGAGTTTCTTATCAAGATTGCTAAGTCCAAGGTTCAGCCCTGATGTAAGATGCTCTATGCATATACTTTAATGTCTTTGCCTTTGGCCACTCTCAAATCAAGATTACAAACATATCTTAGGGAAGAGTGGGTCAGTTCAAAGCCCTGCTTCGTTTTTGAAACTGTCACCAGGGGTGGGTTGACTAAAACTCCAGGGTACAGCTGTTTTGTTGATCCATTGATTATATTTTTTTCTTGGTTGTTTTTTTCTATTTTTCAGGAAAGCAGCCTTCTTCAAACTTCTGTTTGGAGATAGTCTGCTAATCCTCATAGCCCAGCACTGACTGTTGACCTATAATGACATAGGAAGTGGTTAGCAGGAGAGATGACCCACGTGACAGACCTGTTAATGCCAAACAAGTCTGAAATATTCACTACCCTGAAGGTGACTGTACTCAAGGCAGCCATTAAGTCCCTAGGTCTCATTTTTGAGTTGCACAAGCAAGCCTTGGTGACCTGACCTATTGTTTTTTTTTTTTTTTTTTTTTAATGCCCTTTCAGAATTTACAGCTATGTAAGTAAAAATCCTGAGCTGAAATCACCAACTGTTTCTGACAACAGAGTCCAGGAGACAGACTCCACTGGTGGCAAAAACACCCTTTACTGATCCCTCCATCCCCAAATGAAATCTGATCACAGTAGCCATAAAGAAAAATTGAAACAGGACCTTGGCCACATTATTTTTTTAAATCCCTCAGTGATTGTATAATTTTCTTAGCTACTACACCACTTGCTGTTTGTGCTCCTGGTGTGTTTCTAATCTTACCTTCCTGGTGCTGAAAGCAAGCTGGCACTTGAGAATACAGTCTTGTTATACAGGTAACCTTTAAATGGAGTCAGGTGGTCTCGCCTCCAAATAGTAAATGTTTGTGCACATGACCTCTTCCTGCTATTAAAAGCAGCTGTGGTCACAAATGAAATCCCAAGGACATTCATAAGAGGACAAATCTGCCTTACTTAACTTCTGGCTTTTCTTCCTCTGCCTTCTAACCTTTCCCGCTTCCATGGTAACCATCCATAAGTTGGTTCTGGGGCCAGGCCATTATTTCTGAATTTTTCTGTGTTATCGTAAGATTGGTGTGATCTTCCTGTTTCACCTCTGTCCCCAAATGATACCAGCCAAATGTCTTCCCTGTGTGAATTCCAAGGGCAGTTTGTAGGTGCTTGTCTGAAACTGAGCCAACCCCTCTCTCAGTAGGACTGAGTGAGGAAGATTGATCCTCTCTCCACTTACTCAAAAATGTAACAGCATGTACACCTGTATGCAAAAGAATATTAATGGTGAAAGAGTTATAAATAAGAACAGAGAGGGTGAAACCTCTTCCACTAGAAACAGGTCCCCTAAGCTTGTGATAGCAGAAGGTCCCTTCTGCTCCTTTTTATTTAAAAAAAAAAAAAAATCCGAAAGAATCTGAAGTGTCTTCATATCTTTATGAGTCTTGAGAAATTTTGCCTGTATCATTAGAAAAGAAAGACATCTCTTACATCTGGTTTATTTTCTTTTTGCCTTTGAGTTGTCTATGTAAATGCCCCTGCAGCCTACTGAATTCCTGTGGCCAGTCCAGAAGAGTCTTTTTACAGACAGAGGCATTTATTTGGTCTCCTTAAGGGATGCTTCACTTCTTGCTACACAGCATAGTTACACGGCACAAGCTGTGCTTCCTGCTGTGATTAGAAATCCTATGCTTCTGAGGCATGTGGGGCCACCAGGTTAACAACAACTACCTAGTTTGTGCCAGATCCTTTAAGTGTCACCATTTGACAGTGCTAGAAATAAGCACTGCAGATATGACATCATGACAATAGAAAAACCTGGTATGGACAATATGCTTTTTTTCAAAACTTAGAAATTATTATATTGTGAAAATTTTTAAATAGAAGATACATTTGGAAAGAATATGGACCTGATCAGTGATTCTGAACTTAACCTTTGTGTCTCAGAAGCATTTGCTGATAAGCAGTATGGGTATTTGCAATCAAAGAACCTAAGCTCTTAACAGATCACGGTGAGAAGGAGAATAAATTTGTGACTGAAATAAATGTTAATACAGGCAGTTCTAGTAGATGAACCACACAACTGTTTTTAGTAAAACAGGTTTCTAACTTCTTGTGCCCTTTTTATCTCTGGAAAAACTTACATATGGTTGCTTTGGTCCTCTGTGCACTTGGGGAATCCCTGTGGCACCCTCCTATGTGACTGGGTATGTGGCTTTCCCTCCAAAGGATGGCCAGTCGCGAACTGTAAGGCAGTTCCAGTTCACTGACTGGCCAGAGCAAGGAGTGCCGAAGTCTGGAGAAGGATTTATTGACTTCATTGGCCAAGTCCACAAAACAAAAGAGCAGTTTGGTCAAGATGGACCCATTTCAGTCCATTGCAGGTAAGCTGGGAATGAAGACTACTAACTGATGCTCACAATTAATGCAGTAATGGCTTTGAAAACAAATATTACTGTATATTCATTTTTTGTGTAAGTTTGTCATAGCGAATCCACATAATTGAAATATTCTCAACAACGTATTATATAATTTAGGATCTATTTCTCTTTCCATATACTGAAAAATAATCAGAGGAAAATTTTTAGCTCCAAACTGTACCTCTTGTAGAATAAAACAAACTGCAATTTTCCAGGAATGTTTGGTATATCCACCTGTGATAATTTATGTGAATCATTTCTTCTTTGATTTGCTTTCATAGTATTGTCCTTATAAGTGTTTTTCTATATCATTCTCTTCTTGGGAGAACCATAAATAGCTATCAAGCCTTAATGATAGTACTAATTCTTGCCAGTCAATAAGCGATTAGAATGGGACCTCAGTTAAAAATGCAATTTGCTTGAAAATTGTTGCTACAACAGAAAATGAAGCACCTTCAATTTAATTATTTCTAAAGCATTTTATAATTTAAGTCATTGAAGTTAATAGAAATAACCAAGTAAATGAGTTTAGACATTCACCAAAAATTTAGTGCTTTTGGAAGCTGCTTTGCAAAACTCTTGTAGTAAAAGAAATTCACCTAATTTTATTTAAGGTACTTTATTATAGAACTTCAACTACCTTAACTCTCAGCTTTTATTGTCAAAATGTAGAGTTTTAAAATTTATATAAAATATAGTTCATAATGATATGAGGCAAGATCTCAAAACAAAACACACATTCTACTGGGTCTTCAAGATATATGTTCTAGACTTAATTTGAGTATGATATTTTACAACAATAATGAAATTTCTTTTGACTCTCTTTCTCTGCTGATCTTTAAGGGCTTCCTAGCACCTCCTTGTTGATTACTCATGGAATACTATATGAGAAACAGTTCTTATTCATATGCATTTTCTCTGTGATGAATTATCAAAAACCCTTTATTCAACCAAAGTTCGTGTAGAATGGGACACAGGGACTGAAATAGTCGAAGTGGAGGTTGTACAGAGTCTGAAACACTTGCTCTTTCTATTAATTGACCAAATGCTAATTCAAACCTTTCTAATGTGATCAGCAGGGGAAAAATGTTTAGTGTAATTTTTAGTTTTAAACTTTCCCATAAGTATAGTATGCATTACTTCTCATTGCTTCTGTCATTACATAATGATATATATTCTTTTTTAGTATAAATGAAATGGCATATTATTAACACATCTTACATTCCTTAGTATTTTTAGGTATTTTTCTCTTGTCTGGGAATATCTTGAAAATACCACTCATCTAAATCAGATCCTTTTGCTAACATGGTAAAGTCAATAAATTCAAAAGTTGTAAGGTCAACACTTGTTATCTTGAAAATACTTAGAAAGTCAACAACACTGTATTTGTTGTTACCAAATCCAGGTAAGATGAACTCTGGAGTATCTGAATGGTTCCAGAAAAAAACAAGAAGTCCTTGTCTCTCGTGACTGAGAGGAACTGAGCAGAATCCTTGACTGTTGTTGGACATCTTCAGCTACTTTTTAAAGATTGCTTATGAATTTTAAAGCCTCACTTAACATTTCTTTTTAGACTCTTCAGAAATCAAATTTATAACGAAATGCACTGTTTATATATGCTTGTCACCTACATCCCCAAGTAAACAAATCCATCCATTTTCTACAGCCTGCACCCAAGCGTTACACAGGCCATTTAATTAGGATCCAAAAATGTAGGGATTTTTCAGATTATTCACTATTTTTCTCATTACCTAAACCTCCAGATGCTTTTCTGCTTCTTAAATGCACAGTACTATAAATGAATTTTTCATTCTTGCTGCTGTGCTGGAATTATATAGCAAAGACAAGAGAGAGAAACTCAAAATCTTGGCTACATGCTATAAAAAGTTTGGGGAGTTTTAGCTTCTAATCGCCTAAAAATAGTGGATAACTTTAGAAACCGGTGACTCTTAGATGTTCTTTTAGAGATCTCTTTAAGAAACTGTTGAAGGTTATATTCATGAAACAGGAAAAACTGACATATTCACAATCCATGCATATAAGACAGTCACAGCCCCACCTGAAGACTAAGTAGAAAATGCCTCCAAGTCTGATAACCTCATTTTAGAAAATCTTTTTTTAAAATCCAAACCAAAGTTAATCAGTAATTCATCATCTATATACCTTGTTACATACTTACAGGTTTAAGTGATGAAACACTCTACATGGATTATGACTATAAAAAATGAATAATTACCTGGAAAATTTGAAGATGCCACATTTATTTTATCTTACTCTGAATTATTGCATACTTTAAAATATCTAATGGGCAAAATTTTAGCATTTCACAGTCTGCATGATTACTATAAATCTGTGTTTTATCTACCCCTTCTCTTTATTTTTATGTTACCATGTTTGTGTTTTTATTTTCTTGGTCTTTTTAAAATGATGTTCAAGTGCAGTTAAAATGTCATTTTATAAGACTTTGTCCCAATTACTTTCTCCTCACATTACCATAACATACCGTCCCAAAAGTGATCACTTGGTGAACTCAATTCCATGTTTCCCTAATAACATTATGGAAACGCTTGGAAAGTGGAAGCTAGAAGAGAGAAGTCTGTCCAGGACACTGAGAGCCTCCACTCCTAACACTGCCTTTGTTGTTTGGTAGCGCGGGCGTTGGTAGAACCGGTGTCTTCATAACACTGAGCATTGTCTTGGAAAGAATGAGATATGAAGGCGTTGTAGATATTTTCCAGACCGTCAAAATGTTAAGAACACAACGGCCAGCCATGGTACAGACAGAGGTAAGAAAAATTCCCCTGAGTTTTACATCTCCAATCCTACATCTTACTAACTGTGACCTACTTGAATCAAGACGCTCAACCTCAGACACAAAATACAAGAAAGTACTGTAAGAAAAGCATTGGGTCATTTAATATTTTTGAACCTCATCTTCCCCTTTTTAGATCAATGTCTTAGTGTTACAGTAGAGATTACCTGAGAGTCTATTAAGTGGAGCCATGGTGTCATCATTTGATCATTTTTCACCAGTAAAATGGAAGTTTCATGTTTCATTGTATGCATATTGATACAATAAACATTGCAAATATTTATATATCAATGTATTAAAAGATGCTTGTCTCAGAAGGCATACAAGAGAATACAGAAGGCTGTATTGTATGTCATTGGTTGCTCTATAGCTTACTTTCTAAATATTTGGATCTTGGTAATAAACCTAGTGACATTAGCCCCCCATTTTCTATTCTAACAGTTGATAGGGAAATTTTAGTGTTTCTCAGAATACTGTGATTTAACCAATCTGACCTAATGATCATTCATTTCTAAGGATAATGTGGTAGTGTTTATAGTCCTCTAATGGACACTGAATTATAAGTGTTCCTCAGTCCATCATTTGCAATGTATTCTAGACTTTGATTTCAAGGTAGTATGGGCATTTGGCTTACAATACTCAAAACATTATGTCAGCCTGACAAACTAACAGGTTTGGGGGTGACAGGAAAATTGGAAGTTTAAAAAGCCTTAAAACTTAGCCAAGCAACTTACTGTGACAAGATAGGAAAGCAAACCCCATTTATTCTACATTACCATTTTTATTGTAGAAAAATGCACATTTAAGCAAAATAGAAACTACTTTCAGCCCCATTGGTTGCTGAAAATAAGTTTCTTCTGTAAAGAAAATCCTACTGTTTCCCACGCCCGTGTCATCAGTAAATCATAATTTTTCTGTCTTTCTAACAATACTGTTTATTCCCATATGAAAATGTTTTCCTTGTGTGAAAAGGGAAATGTTTATACTGTTTCATTTTAATGTAGGCCTTTCTAGAACAGACACTTGCAGTCACTCTGAAGTAGGGCAAATGGCACAGGTACTTTTTGATAGGGTCAAGCAATTCATCATGCCATTTTGAAGATGAAAGGCTTAAAAGTTAAGTGTCCTGTGGAAATAAATGGTTTGCCTGTATGAGGTTCCACACTAATGACTTTTTGGCTCCTTCTCTCATTTGTACATGGATATAAAAAATGACGGTCATTCTGACTACAGGCAACAAGGATCTACTGTCTAATCAGAATTTTTTTAACATAAATTTGGATGGGTAGTGCCAGAAATATAAATCCAGATCACCTTAGGACTCTAAATTTGCAGGCTAAGGATTAGTTATCGTAGTGCAACAAGTCATGATAAAAGATGCTTGTGGCAAATAAGAGGTTTGTGTGTTCAGCTGGTGGTAATTGTTTCTTACTATTTGGAAATCAGTTCGTACTCATCTAGAAGAGAATGATCTCTAGATTTGTCACCTGCTTGGTATTAGGAAACTATTTTGATCAAACTGGTGAAGTTAACAAACTTACTACATGGTCATTGGATTGAACTGACTATAAAAAGTAATGATTCTGTTCCTGTAGAAATAGAACTTTGTTTACCAGGCTAGTTTTCTATTGTAATACACTCACACTTCCTTTTCTCCCTTCTGTGTTATCTCCTGTAGGATCAGTACCAGTTTTGCTATCGAGCCGCACTAGAGTACCTGGGCAGCTTTGATCACTATGCAACGTAGAAACCCCTGACCCCTTCTGGATTTTTACTACAGGCCCTTCAATATCCATGGAGTCTCTTCTGAGCCATACAGGGCACTTGAGAAGTCCTTCTTAACTTCTAGCTAACAACCACTTAGTGGGACTATTACACACACAACCAGTTAAAAACAAACTATTCCAGGTGGACCAAGAATTCAGTTTAATAATCTAACCTGAAAAATAATAAAGAGAATCCTGACTTATGAAGCATCTGAAGGATTTTATTTACAGATACTTCAAGGATTCAACATAAAGGGAAGAAGAAATCACAGCAAAGAACCAACATCTTGTTTGAGTTTGCTTCACAGGTACCAAGAGAAATTGCTGGAGTGCTACAGTGCAAGATATTTGCTGGTGTAGCTTCTCAGAATAAAATGGATTCTGCTCCGACCTTGCCCCTTCCCACCATACCACTCATAATAAGCTTTTAGGAGTAAGGGTGGGGGATGTTTAAAAAGAAAGCCCTTGATTTAGTTTTTTAGTATTGTAAAGATACTGCTGACCTGTGCTTCATTTCTAACTGTGTACACTTTTTTTTTAACAAAATGTATCATTCGATAAAGTGAATTTTAAAAAACAGTTACATAATTCTTCATTTTTTATTTCCAAACTGTAAGTTTTTTTAAGCTGTAGAACTGTTATCTGTAATATCTTGCTGTAGAAATATCAAATCATTTGAAAATTTGCACATTTTTGTGCAATACTCAATCTATAGTTTTGGTCTCATCAGATATTACTTTGACATTTCTGTTCAGTTTTAATTAATGAAAAAGTACCCATTCTCTTTAAATGATCAAAGAGAATTTAATTTTGTTTTGCTTTTGGAATCAACAGGGAGGCGCAAAGTATAAAGTTGCTGCTAACATATATACATATATATCCGAATTTTGTAAGGGTGTCTATGTATATATAGACAGTGTGTCCACACAAAAGTTAGAGTTAGCAATCATTCAGTTCTCTTGTGATTCAGTTTTTTTAAAATAGTATAAAAGCTATTATAAATATCTCTTTCAATTCTTAATTTTATTACATATTGGGATTTCTTAATATCGCAAATTTTAATTTTCTAAAGGGAAATGAGGAATGCACATCAGTGATTGTCAAACCTCACCCCCCTAATTTCCAACTCAATCTCCCTCACCCACCCAGTTATGTTCACAAATAACATTTTGTTAGCCAGGCTTCCAACAAAGTTCAGTATTCCTAACAATCTAGTGCAATAAAAAAATTATTAAATATCTAAGAGGTGTGCATGTGGGAAAGGTCAGTGCATATCCCTTTAGGAAGGGAGAATGTTGTAATATATCAGCTATCAAATTGTTTAAAAAGTGTATTCAATCATATATTGTCTATAGTACGTGCTATGAAATTTGCATTTATGATATGTAACAGGGGCAAAGCCAAACTCATTTTAGTCTGTTTGGTAAGAAACATTTTGTGGCACATAGCATTCCTGGGAAGTGCTATACTTTGTTTTGTTTTGGTTTTAGTTTTGCATTTAGAGTGCCTTATAATTGATGCCTATTTTAATAGCATTTCTTTTTAGCTTTGGGTTCATATTGCCATTAGTGGTTCATATCTGTTACCCTTTCAATTAAAGCATTAAATGTTTACCACATGTACAGAAACTCTTTGAATAATATGCATTCCTAGTTTTCAGCCAAGTCGGGGATGTTAGTGATTGTACCAGCCCAAAGCACTTGGATAATCAGGGCTCTTCTGTTCATAATCGTCAACATCAGGAAAAGCTACTTGTTTTATTTATAATCCCTTCCAAATCTGCTCTGAAACATGCAGTAACTACATCAAACTTATTTTAGTAAAAATATCATTGGCAATTTTAGGATATATTTGATATTTCATTAGGATTTTTCTGAAAGTGGAAATAATATATCTCTCCTCTAAATCCTCCAACATAAGTTCTTTAGGAAGCCATGGATGGTGGCATGAGTTCACCATGTCTTACCTGATTTTAAAGAACCCTCAAAAACTCCTAAGAACTCTTAAGAGTTTTGATATAGGTATGATTTTTTGGTTATTTTTGCATCATGGATGTTCTGCATGGAAGTTTGTTTGTTTTCACATTTTCCCATCGCTAGCAGAATGAAATCCAAGAGACCAAACACTTGCAAGCATCATATTTGAGCACTTTTATAAAAAAAAAGAAAAAAGAAAAAAATATACATAATACTTTAAAAAAAAAAAAGTATCTAGAAGGCTACCTCAGAATGAGACTCTCTAACCTACATCAGAACCAGAGAAGAATGTGCACTATGTGGGGTCTGTTGTTTTCTTTTAGTTTGTATCTTTTGAAGATTTATCCAAGTGCCAGATTACTCAGTGCTATACTTTTCTTTTAGTGAGACAAAGGAGGTGAGACAGACAGATATTGTGTCATCCAGACACACTATGCTGGACACATAGAACCTGATGGAGTATTGCACACCAGAATGATTGGCCAATGAGCAGTTTGTCTCCCTGAAACAAAAGCTGCCCACAGGGCAGAGGGAAAGGTGACGATAATCACAAAAAGCGAATGAATGGGATGCATACCACAGACGAGCGAGGCAGAGACTATTCCAGAAATCTTACTATTCAGGAGCTGTTCCCAGAACTAACTCCCTTACTGTCATTGATGTGCATTCCACTCTGTACTTTTCTGTACAACCATTTGAGTTTTAATTTCCCAGGTAGACACCTTTATCTGCCATTTCCATAAACGCTCAAGTTTCCAGTTCTTTTCATCACCATAACCAGTACGGTGCTATTATTTACCTATGTATGTGTAGTTATGTATAATTTTGTAATTAGTTACAATGGTAAAAATCAAAATATATAAAAAGTGATTTGTACAGAACTTTATTTTAGCTCTTTTTTAAAAATGATTTGCATGGTTAGACAAAACGGCGAGGACAGCCAGGGGAGGGAAGGGCCTCTAGGGAACTTTGCACTTTCTATACCTTTGTACTATGCACTGCCCTATTGATTCTACACCCAATAATGTTATTACTTGAACCCATCTGTAAGAAACTGCTTCTGAAATTCATTTATGTGTATGTAAATAACACACCTTAGAAACAGGAAAGAAAAAAAATCAGCAGTCATGCACACATTTTTTTTCTTTCCTGTTTATTTTTGGTTTTGCTTTGTTTTAGTCCCTCCTTTCACTTTGATTCCCTCTTCATTTTTCTTTTGGGTTTATGGGTGCCCCTGATACTCCAGCAGAGATCAGAAGGCTACAGATCCATCCTATCCATCCGTTACGTGGCTTTGCCATCCAAGCTTGGAGTGTCTTTACAAAGATAACAGTTGTGTTCTTTGCTCTCGTTTTGGATGCATAGACTGAAAACTTAAAATAACTTGTAAAATGGCTTGTTAAAAAAATACAATTACCTCTAATTAGTAGTACGCGTAAATGTTTTACAGAATGAAAGGCGTGCTTTTTATTTTCTTACTTCGTTACATTGGTGGCGAAAGAAGTCTGTATGAAAATCAGTTCTTTGCTGACACAAGTTCCATTTGTTACAAATGAATTCTAATAAAAATGTCAGTGTTATGCAGTCATGGCCTTTGCTCTTGTCCACTCGGACACGCTGGTTTTGAACCAACTATTTGCTCCCACTTGTCACCTGTGTACCTCTTTCTGTTCTGCTAGTAGCAGTCCTTTTAACAAGAGCCTGTATTTACAAGTGCTCACATAGTGAAGTAAGCACTCCACACTGATAAGCAAACTGAAGCTCAGAGAAATAATTGTCCAAGTTCACATTTCAAAAATAGAAGTATTGGTATTTAAGTGTGATCATCTCAAATAACTGACGGGAAAAATAGCTCCAAGATTAATTTCTTAAAAGCTTTTAAGAACATAGCTGAGGAAAGACTGGCTTTACTTCTTTGATATTCCGAACACCAATAGTGGGTCAAAACTGTTCTAGTTGTCGCACAGTGTCCCTACACAGTGAGGTCATACTACCATTTGCCTAAAAGCCAGTGTAGTAAGAGACACTGGCATTGAAGTAATGATAAAGATACATTCTGAAAGCGCCATGAAGGAAAATATGATATTCCTAAAGGTAGGACTACCAATTGTGAATGGTAGCAAGTTGATTCAAGTTGGCATTCAGGGAAAGAAAGGTTTTATTGTCTCAAAAACAAAGATAAAAAGTGGACTCTCATAAAAAGGGTAAGAATACACAATGTTCATACATAATACAGCTGGTTTCAAGATTGAAGTCATGTCAAAACATGGCATCTTCCCTCATCCCCTGCCTGGTTTCTCTTAGTATCAGTTCTAAACTCCTTTTTGCAACCTCTAAAACCTCCAGGATCATTAACACCACAAGCTAAATAAGTGGGGAGTTGCCTTCGCTAACAACACAAGGAAAAGTCCTAAAATGGAGTAGATTTTCGCTGGCCTAGCTGACCTGACTTTGAGTGAATAATCATCTCAGGAATATAAATATAGACAGAAAAAATGTGCTCTTTGATTTATTAAATCAAAAAGTTTTAGTAGCTGATATGTTACCTATTAGCAATGAGCACTGTGAGACCAACAACTGGCTGCAAATCAATCCAATGAGTTAAAGTGAGACAAAGCACAAGTACGCTTGTTAATGTCATCAACATCAAGAAAGCTTGTTGCTATGGAAATAATGACAGAATAAAACAACTCTATTATTCAAACATTCTGGAAATCTTGATTTGGAATAGACAATTAGATTCTCTTTCACATTTTTCTTCTCTGCCTAATTGGGCTTTTGTTTTTCAGATTTGATCACTGGATTGATTGTGTAGGCACAAAATCCTTAACCAGGAAATGAGCACAAAAAGTTCAGGATGTGTCTTATTTGGTGTTTTCAACATTGCAGTCATTCTTCTGAACAGATAATTGATCAGAATGCCAAAGATGAAAAAAATATGATCTAACTTTATACATACATGCAGAGATTAGTCAATATGTTCATTAGTCAATATATTAAGAAATTCTCAAGATATTAATAATGAATTAATAACTTAGCATTGTCTATGATTAAATGAATTTCAATAAATTAAAATATAGTTTGTAGAGGTGGAACAAGGTGGTACCTGAATAAGCTATACTGGGCATTTTCTCCCCACAGACATAGTTTGAACAGCTTTTTACACACTGAACTACTTTTAAAACAGTTAAGGGAATCAGAGATCAGTGTCTACTATTAGTTTAACAAAAAAGATTCACTAAAGAAGACAAAAAGGAAAGAGTTGCCCTTGTCATCTCTTTCCCAACTCTAAGCAGCCCAAAACAAGAAGCTTCTTAAAGTAGGATGGGAAAAATAAGACTTTAGGCTTAAAACCCAGTTCCATAATTACCACAGTGAAGTCTAGTGATAAAGCACCATGCAACATCCAGACCAATACTTGTGGATGCAGCTACTGGATCAGCATTTTCCTTCTACCCGTCCTCCACCTTGGGGCAGGAGACCAGGGAGCAAGAATCCACTTGCCTGGACCCAGAGGACCAAAAGTAACATAGGGCTTTGTTTTGGATCCCACCGTCATACCTACCAATACCTGGTAAAAATTAAAAACCCCATAAACAGGTCAGAACTCAGGAACAACTTGTATACCAACCTGGCATCAAATAGAAACCTTTTTCCGAGTTCTGCTGCATCAGTTCCAGAGTTGGATTGAATCTAATGCACACTTGCCCTCCTCCTAATATCATCCGAATCCCCATGGCTCTATGCCTTAAGCTTAGCACCACTCATGGCAGCCAAGAGACTGTCTCCACCACTCATTCTACAACTGCAGACAGCTGCTGTCTGGTCAGTGATTACAGGACCTGTTGCCTGGAATCACTAATAGATGCTTCAAATATCCCTGAGTTTGTGAGTCCTCAAAACTGCAACTCTGAGGCATAACCCATCTTATTTTCAGACTAGGTGACCAAGAGAATACATTTCACCAACACTAACCCAGTATAGAACGGTACAAAATTCCATTTGTTGGGGGTGGGACAGAGTAGTAAGCACAAGATTTTGCCCTAGAATTTTGTGCCGAGTTTATAAAAATTAATACTGGCAAGATCCTAATGTGCCCCATCCCCAGCCTGAGAATGGATACAGCCCTGAACACCTCAGTGCCAGGAGAAAACACGCAGCCACAATCAAGCACACATCTATTCTAGCTAGCACCACTCAGGACTAGTCATAATGATTTGAGCCATAAGGTCACCTCTGCAATAAACAGTTCATAGCAGCCTGGGCCATGGTCCTACACTAGTGTCATGATGGTCTTGGAAAACTATAGGATGTAACCCAACTTGGTAGTGGGCATAATCACATGTATGACATACAGTCTTAGGGCTTGTCCACAGTATTAATAATTGTCCACAGGTATTGTAATTGCATGCCTATATATTTAGCATTTCTTGTAGAACAGGTTTGTTAGAGATATATTTTTCAGCTTTTTCAGGTGATGTCTTTATCCCTTCTCCATTCATAAAGGATAGCTTCCCTCAATTCAATATTTTTGGTGAGAGCTGGGCAGAATGCAGCAGTGTCTGACCACACGCCAGTTACTTGCATGAGGCATGTAAGCCTATTCCAACTTCAGAGAAAGGCTTTGAGGCACATACAGCTCTTCTTAGGGACTCGTCTCCCGCCCCCCCTTCTTTCTTTCTGTTTCTTTCTTCCTCTTTGGTGGGGGGATTGAACTTAGGACTTCAGGTTTGTCAGGCAACGCTGTGCCACTGAACTAAATCCACAGCCCCTCACCTGTTTCTTTAAAAAAAAAAATCCAACTGTATATTTCAGAAAAACCTGGGCTTGGATTGCCCTCCTGTACTGAAAGAATAACAATATATTCAGCAGTAGATTCCCATAAAATATGGACTTAGGCATCATTCAGTACTGCAATTGTGGAAGACTACAGACTCACAGTTGGTAGGAGAAGGACCCTATCTGGGATTTCTGGAAAGACAAAAATACATTAAGCAAGCCAAATTAAGAACAATGGAATAAGTCCTAATATTTTTATGCCCACACACATGACTTCATGCTATTAGCCCATCAAAAGAATTCAGGAAACTTTGGCTTCATCTAGTACTCAAAGTACCAAAAAGTGTCAAAGCCATATGGAATATACAAGAAGTGTCAGAGAATCTTAAATGTCTATTTCAAGGAAAAACAGAAATATTTCAATGCTATTAACACAGAAATTTAACCAAAGAATGGGCATAGTTAAAAGAAAAATTAACCAGTTTCTTGAACTGAAAAATACAGTGAAATTAAAAAGTATACACTTATTCAGGTAAAGGAAGATTAAAGTTTATCAATCAAATTTAACTTGCTTGTCTTAAGGTTTAAGCAAAGTCACAGATGAAAGATAAAGAGACCATTCTCAAGTATTCAAGAGCAAAGAACACACAAAGATATCTCAGTTGATCTTACGTAAGACTTCTTAGCAGAAATCCTACAATTTCCAGAAAGTGGCATAAGATCTTCACAATTCTAAAAGAAAGAAAAAAACTGCTGAAAATATTGAATTGAGGGAAGCTATCCTTTATGAATGGAGGAGGAATAAAGACATCACCTGAAAAAGCTGAAAAATATATCTCCAGCAAACCTGTTCTACAAGAAATGCTTAAGGCTAAAGGAAGTTCTTCCCACTCAAATAGACATTAATGAGAAAGAACCCTTAGAAAGGTGTTATTACCATAAAGGTATGTTAGCACACTAGTAAGTTATTACAAAATTTGAGATGCTCCAAAATTATAATCATGATTGTAAAACATTTATATCTTTGTTTGCAAACTAACATATAGGTCACAATTAATAATTACATAAATATGTTAACTGATAGGCAATATAAAAAAGGGGATAGCAAAAACTGAATATGAGATTAATACAATGAAAGTAGATTATTAGGGATGGAGGTTTAGCTCAGTGCTATAAGTGCCTGACTGGTAAGTGCTAGATCATGAGTTCAATCCCTGGTACCAAAAAAAAGTTGACTGTTAATATATTTTATACTATTCATTCATTTGTTCTTATTTTTAAAATGATATTAAGTCGCCATCATGTCAAAATAAGTTGTTACAGTCCAAAATAATTATTGTAAACCTTATACAAGACCAAAAAGCAAAAGCCTATTATAAACAAATCAAAAAATAATGAACAAGAAATCAAAACAGACTAATAGTGGAATTCACTTATCCACAGTCAAGCAGTATGACAAAGGGAGAGAGAAACTACAATAAAGCTAGAAAACAAGTTACGAAATACAGGAAGACCTTAGCTATCAATCATTACCTTGAATATAAATGGGTTAAATTCTCCAGTTAGGAGTCAGGGTACCTAATCAGATTAAGAAAAACAAGTGAAAGAAAGAAAACAAACTATACATTACTTACAAGAAACTTCCTCTGCTTCTAAGGAGAAACATAGACTGAAAGAAAAGAATGAAATAAGATATTCCATGCTAATGGAATTTAAAGTAAAGCAGGAAGAACCATACTTCTTTTCAAATAAAATAGACCTTAATAACAGGAAAGACATAGAGAATATTATTCCATAATGGGAAA